TGATCGTCAGAAACACAATCTCGACAGTTGCGGTGTCAGGGTGGTTCGAGGTACCTTGTCTCTCTAGTACAGGCCTGTTTGTGTAGGCATCGAAAAGCTCAGGGAACTGCAACCATCCGTTCAAGATCAGTGCAAAGTACAAGATACCACCACGGGTAAAGGCGCCCTGTGCATTGTTCTCAATGTTGAAATACATACTGCCGCAGACGAGGCAGAGAATGATGGTTGTGATCCACTTGATATAGTAGACCCGTCTCTGTCCCTTGACGAGCTGATACTCTCGCTTCAAGCTCTCCTTGACCTGAGAAGGCAGCGATAAGCGATACGAATAGGATGGAAGTAGAGCGTCTGCTTGACCCTGTTTCTCTCGATATTCGTCGATCTCACTGACGAGGCGTGCATAGTTGTTAGACCTTCTGAAGGCTGCAGCAAGATCAGCAGAAGACTTGATGCTATCAGCCTCTGAACCGGGAATAGCCCTCCTCTCTTCGGGGTCTGTCACGGTTGCAAGGAACTCAGCCGTCGTCTGGCCAGGAATGGGAATGAATCCAAGGTTGCTGAAATAGTTCCAGGCCTCGGACGTGCTTCCGAAAAAGGCTTCGTGTCCTTCGGAGAGAACGACAACCTTGTCAAAGTTTCGGTATATCTCTTCGCCGGCTTGGTAGAGTGTTGCGAGAGTTGTCTTGTGGCCGATATCGGTGAAGGCTCTTAGAGCTTTGACAAAGTCCAAGGCGGTGGAGGAATCGAGACCACGGGTCGAATTGTCGAAGCATTGGACTGAGGAACCAGCTGCCAGGACTTCGGCGATGGAAACACTACAAGGATGCAGGTTAGACATGATAGTGGTGATGAATTGAAAGTTTTTCTCTTACCGTTTCCTCTCCCCGCCTGACACACCGGGTGAGAATGCTCCGCCAACAGGAGTGTCCAGGGCATGTGAGAGACCGCAGATCTTGGCGATAACATCAACCAGGCTTGCCACGAGCTTCGCGTTGCGAGCATCTGTCGGGAGAGAATTGCGCAGAGCAAACTGAATCGTCTGTCTGACGGTTAAGGAAGCAATGTGCCTGTCCTCTTCAGGCAGATAGATGGTCTCTCTGGCATGGTCACGCCTGAAGACAGAAGAAGATACGTTGGCGTACTCGAGGTCACCGGTAGTGGCCAGATTGGATCGACTGGCGATAGTGCGGAGGAATGATGAGCATCCACTACCAGGGCGTCCCAGGACAAGAAGCATTTCCCCGGGTTTGACAACGCCCGAGAATCCATCGAGGATTGTTCTTCCCCCAGGGTCAGAGTTTCGTGGGCTGATGCGTGCCAAGATCTGTTCTTTGATGAAGCGAACTTGGTCGGGCCCAAAAGTGTTGAGGATGGCTTGAGGCAGAGTCTTGACCTGGATCTGGGTTCCTGATGGGGCTGTGACTGAGAGATCCTTGAAGGATACACCAATTTGTTTTGGTGTATCGTTGCCGCCTAGAGCTTGACTCTGAAGAAGCACCCGAATGGCATCTAGACCCTCTGAGTCTAGGCCTTTAGGGACGGATACCTCAATCGACGCATCCTTCTGGGTCTCGATGACCGACCCGTCAGTGGGCGTAGACATGTTGGATGCTGCGTGCTGGAAGGAAACCTGGGCAGTAGAAGCTAGACCAAACAGGTTGGATAACAAATGGTCAAACAAGATCAATTGGAAGAGGCTGTGAGCCAAACTCCCAGCAGGTCCTCGATTATCTCGCTATTGAGCGTCGCTGTAAGTCAAGCTGAGGGTGAGTTAGACTGGATGCAGATGAAAGTGATGCTGATTAGTCAATCCTGGTGATTGGTCCGAATCGCACTAGAGAATAACTTGACTTGGGTCCCTTAAGAGAGGTTGGCTCCTCCATTTGCAGGTCAATTAATCTCCGAGTTTCAATTGATGGCTTATCCAGACAGGAGTACCGCTACATGGCGTCGCTGTATTACGCGATTGGGATGTGCATTCTAGGGTTGGTGGAGCTGCCAAAAATGTCCGACCCTTGTTCGGAGCAAAATGGCCATACCCTCGTCTCTTCGGACTTGGTTGACCATGATCGGAGCCATTTGACCACATACTCAACAGCCATTTCTGAGATAGTAAGGATTACGACGTCTTTCCGCCCTGGCCGCGACGTGTTTTATTTGGTGCTAGAAGATTGCTAGACTACGCGACCCTGCTACTTGGCATCTTAGTCTTGTGGTTGAAGGCGATTTGGAAGAAATATCTGTTGGTTCTGTGCTGCTCATTATTCAGCCTCATTATTGCGTGACGCTCTAAAATATGTTGGTGGCGTGGCTGTTGGTGCACCGCTTGCGGTTCCAGACTGCTGGAGACAGGCTAACTACAGTAGACACAACAGCAAACACCATAAAGCGATATGGTATAGTACTTGACAACACTCTTAATAAATAGAGAAGTAGACTCACAGTAACTATCATCGTTTCTATTTACTTGAATCACTTATCGTTGCAAGTAAATCTTTGACTATTACTTCAAACTCACAGCAAACCTATAAAAGAAAAGTCCTTACAATGGCAGATGCACTTGGTCCGTCCACCCATTGGTGGAATGATGCTGGCTTGAGGAAACTCTACCTCTGGCTGCCAGTTGTCATCCTCAGCAGTTCATATCAAGGTTTCGATGGCATGATCATGAATGGCTTGCAGTTGCTGCCCTCCTGGCAAGAAGGTGAGTCTCAACATTCGACGCCATGGTAGCTCACGATGGTAAGTTACAAGAGATTGACTCCGGGCTTTAGAATTTGATCACCCGGAAGGACCAGTCTTGGGTCTGCTCAACTCTATCCAGACGGTTGGAGCCATGTTGGCGCTACCTCTCATTGGTTGGCTCGTCGATAAGATTGGACGTCGCAAGTCCATTGCCTTTGGCGCTTCATGGACCCTGCTCGGCGCGATTTTACAGGCGACCTCTAAGCACATTGCACAATTCGTCATTTCGCGATTCATCATCGGTTTTGGTCTTGCTTTCACTGTCGTTGGTGCACCGCTACTACTTGCCGAGCTGGCTCTTCCGAAGCACCGCGGAACCATCTTGTCTTACTTTCCCACTGCATGGTATACTGGAGCAATCATCGCGGCTTGGACAACCTATGGTACTCAATTCATCGAGGACTCCCGTTCTTGGCGTATTCCCAGTGGTCTCCAAGCTGTCCCCGCTGTCATCCAGATCAGCCTTCTTTGGTTCATCCCCGAAAGTCCTCGTTGGCTGATTTCCAAGGGTAATGGCGCAGCTGCCCGAAGCTTCTTGGTAAAGCATCACGCCAATGGCGATGAGAGCAATCCGATTGTGGAGATCGAATACACACAGATCAAGGAGGCTATCCTCAAAGATGCACAGTACAAGGAGCAGGGCAGCTATCTCGATCTTATCCGAACGAAACCGAACAGGAGAAGACTTATTCTTGTCACCTTTTGTGGTCTGTTCCTCGAGGTGAGAATGCTGAGGCAAACTTCCATTGAGCCTTTGCTAACAATATTTCTAGATTTCCGGCAATGGTTTAGTTCAATACTATCTTCACTCCGTGCTGAATAGTATCGGAATCACCAAGACAATTGAGCAAACTACAGTCAACGGTTGCTTGTCTATCTACAACTTTGTTTTGGCTCTTGGCGCTTCGTTCTTAGTTGACCGGATTGGTCGCCGCAAGCTGTTCATCATCTCTACTGCCGGAATGTTTTTTGCTTTCATTTTGTGGACTACCTTTGCAGCTTGTGAGTACCTACTATACCTAAATTCTGCTTGATACAGGCATGCTAATTCAATCGACGCAGTATACACCGAACACGGCACTCGGAATTACGCGATTGGTGTAATTGTCTCCATCTTCCTTAGCAATGGCGCTTATGACCTTGGGTGGACCCCTCTCTGGGCTTATCCGGCCGAGCTTCTGCCCTACGAGGTGCGAGCACGTGGAGTCGCCTATATGACAGGTATTATGCATGCCGCGGGGTTCTTTTCTTCTTTTGTAAACCCAATTGGGTCGAAGAATGCTGGATGGAAGTACTACATTGCATTCATTGTCTATACGTTTCTTGAGGTAAGTTTACTGTGGCCCCCTTGTTTATGTGACTGATCTCAACTGACTCATTGTCTTCAATAGCTTGTTGCAGTCTGGTATTTCTTTGTTGAAACCAAGGGATATACCCTTGAGGAGATCGATACTATCTTTGAGACGCCGGGGCTTACTTGGAAGCAGAGAAGGAATCTCAAGGCTCCTAGCCTTGTTCGGGAGACTAGCTCAATTGAAGAGAATGGTGATGTTGCTCGCAAGCCCGATGTTGCGGTTTCAAAGGTAGAGCTTTGAGCTTCTCAATAAAGCTTTTGAGGAGAAAGTTCATGCCAAACTATTCATAACCTTGCCGGAGTCGCTATAGAGGTAACTGGAAGGTGGAAGTAATCCATAGTTCAGTAATTTATCTCAAACTCTATATCCCAGTTGCGAACTCTTTATTTATTTTCTACCATCGACGCTTAACATATTCTCAAGTGCCCCTACTAATTGGCAAAGGTCGCGTCCCGATTACGTGGCGACCGACCAGATGAGTTTGTTACTACCAGAACGCTAAAATCGTCGTTTCAGCTCCCCACTTGTCGTTGGCCAATGTGTCATTCAGTCAGTGCTAATATCTATCGTGTCCCATAGTCCCTTACGCTATCTGTCCCTGGCGCTGCGCCCTGTGGAGTTTTATTGACTTTAATGCGCTACAGATAAACGGGCTTACCATATGCACCCATCGCTTCTGTAAGCTTAATCAATAGTTTAGCCGCAACTGACTACTATTACAGGTCTTTACCATAACAGTCGGACTATTGCTTTTATTACCTCTCAGGGGTCGACTAACCTGTATTAGTGACTATACACAACCGGATTAATAAGTTAAATACATCAGGGGCCCTCCTCTGTTACCTGGATCCTGAAGTCATGGTTCACTATCCCTTCTAAATTTGCTCCATCTGGCCCGTCATGATGTCGTCTCCGAAGCTGCTGCTAACGTTGGTGGCTACGTTCCTGTTTTTTACGTCTATTTCCGCTGGGAATTGTAAACCTAAACCCTCTCTTTCTGAGTCTACCACTACCACGACATATCTCACAACGGACACCACAAATCTTGTTACGGCCACGACCGATGCTACCACTCTGCCCACTACAACTACTGGCACTTGCACACTAGAGCCTAGGCTTGATCCACAGCCAAACTATCATCTTCAATTTACTATCGGTGTCGAAACATGCTACGATTTGGACCGTTCAAACTTTTACAAAGTGGGTGGAGGTGCCAGTAATGGATTCAACCCTTGGGTACTCACAACGGATGGTGGTGAATACTTCACCGTCGGAGACGACGGCCACGTTTCTTACAGGCGTGGTTATGTTATTGCCCAAGAGCCAGGCACTGACAATATCGGTGGTATCTCTGACAGTGACACGGCAAGAGCCGGCTGGACAAGGCTTACTTGCAAAGTTTTCACCACCTCCAATACCCCATTTGCCTACATGACATGCGTCGGAGATGGACCCGAGAACTCTATATTCCAGATCTGCCAACTATCACCCAATGGTCCGCTAAGCATATTGCTTTCTGCATCAGTCTCGCCTGGATGTAGTGAGGCATATCTATTTGGTGCTGACAGTTAAAAAAACGGCTGGTGAAAGAAGTGTGAATGGAGTCTCATTGAGCTACCTGAGCTTAATCTAGGGTTACCACCCTGCACATCTTGATCTGACCCGGAAAGAAGAAGTTGTTTTACTAAAGCCTACAAGCTCAAACTTTGAATTATTCAAGGGGATATTCTCAACAGATTTGCCAGCATGCCTGAAGGGAATGAATGACTGGTCTTGGAAAGTCTGAGAGACAGGGTATCAAGGGGTCTTAGTTATGGTCTAGTCAAGAGCGATAAATATGAACGATAAAATGCCCTTGCCCATTTCCTTCACGATGTGGGGGGTAGTGGGATGAAATGCCGTGTCTAGTAAATGCATCTGAAAGGGGGCTATAACATTATGCATTTCATGGAAAACCCATAGGAAACTCTAAAAACTCATGGACCTCTAGAACACCCTATCTGTCTTAAATATAAAAGTACCGGTAAAACAAAGTGCAAGGGCGACAGGTAACCCAATCAACTACTAAGATGTCTCCCCCACGCAGTTACTCGTGGACCTTGCTCCCTCGGTCAAAGGGAGCCCCAATAAGTGGGATCATCTTTGAGTGAGCCCACAGGCACATATATGACTTTCACCCTATCACGGGGTAAGGTTAACCCCGGTCTGGGGTCTTGGGATCAACATTCAAACCCATAGTGTAAAAATAACCATGATAGAAAATTTGAGCCTCGATCGGCAAGGTCAACCTCACCATTCTGCATGTCTCGATGCTGCCAGCTGTTATCTATGTCATGAATGGGATGGATCAGGTCGGTCTATCTTATCCGATTTAACCGGTTCTATTTGGCACAGGATCTGAAACCTTGCGCCGGAACAAACGGAAGAGGGAAGGAGGACTGGGGGTGTATCTACTGCGTAGTCCTCATATCACTAATGATTTGTCTTCTTCTGTCTATCCCAGAATCTGTGAGAGAGTCTGTTATACAGGTGATAAATTGCAGGTACTGTACAATTGTAGGGCCTCATGGATCCAAGAACCTTCAGGGACATATATCTGTGCCAGGCGTGTGTTGATAATAATTGTGTTCGGAGCCCGAAAAGCAACTAAACTTCTCAAGTGATGCTTGATTCGTTGCCACACAGCATTGGCTGTTGCTGCTTTTGGTAAGTGCTGATATCACACAACGTGTGATCTGCACCACTCGGCCCATCGCCCGTCAGATGCTGTGTAAGCTTTAGCTTCGCGGGTGTCGGTATCGGCACGGCCCGGACTTGATGCGTCCTAATCTGACTTTTTCTCACAGCGATAGTGATATCAGCACACACACGTAAGCAGCACCCCTTCCCACAAGGCGCTGGTGCGTTATCTCGTCACAAGCAGACTTCAAACGGATCCAATGGAAGACGATCGATCTGTTGCGCGGCCCTTGAATGGCCGGGGAATATGCAGCTGTGTCCCGTATCACAAGATGAAGATAAGCAATGTCGCATCTAGATAGGAAGTTGTGTAAAAATGACAGTTTCGATCAACGGGAGGCACCGCTCTTTGGACATTGTATTACGAAGCTGGGACTTGGCATCGCCTCAGCATCGCCTCACAATCGGGCTTGATATGGAATCTTAGAGAGCAAGGAGTGCATGGTCTTATCCCGTGTAACGCTCCTCGCTCGGTTCTCACATAATCCTGACTGCATAATCACACAATCAGGCCATGGAATTGCCTCAATCTGACTGCTTCTAAAGATTATGTATGGCACCTTACGCTCTAGGTCAGAGGCAAGAGAGAAGATGATCCTGGCAGTGAATTGATTAGTTCACACATGATATAAAGAGAATGCCCGAGAAGTAACCACGGAGCCACCATGCAATGCCGACACGTCCGTTCGGCACCCACATGTTCGGCACAATGTCACACCGCCAATCATGCGAGCGCTGTCGGCAGCAAAAGGTCCGGTGTCTTCGAGACTCCACCTCCCAGAAGCCATCACCAGGTCAGCCTCTGCCAAAATGCTCCAAATGCGCAAAGGCAGGCACAGCATGTGTGTAAAACTGTAGATCGATCGAGTTGATCCCACCATCTAACAAAGGTTTAAGGTATCACTACATTAAGAGCCAAGACAAAAAGACCGTGCTTCAGCTCCGAGAAGAACATGGGCCTGCCATCCCTAGAGAAACAGACGGGTGGCTCTCTAGAAGATGATTGGCTTGACTATGACAACCTCAACTGGCACCAGACGAGCACAATGGCCCAAGCAGACCTTGACCTCGAGAATACCTCTCAGAATGTTAATCCAGACCTGAAAATGAGTGATGATTTTATGGCTGGGATGGATACACACCTCGACGAAGGACAATGGTGGAACGAGACAACCCCGTCCCAAACACCACTATCCAATGCCGATGTCAGTGATGACAGGGCGACGCCCAGTTTCTTACAAGAACTTACCTCCCAGGCCATGGCTGTGAGCACTAAGACAATCTCAGCTACAATGGCTTTGTATCATCCCCGCAGCGCTCCACCAACTGTATCGTCACAGTATGTTAACCAGGCTTTCGATGGCACAAGAACCCTGGTACGTATCATCAATACCATATCGATGATCATTTCCGGGGAGAACGATGAGAATACTTCGGAAGGTGAATCGTGCTGTGGCATTGGAGGGTTGGCTCTTACAACCCTTGCATGTCAGCAGCATCTTTTGGGCCTTTTCAAGGCAATTTGCAAGTCCATAGAACATTGCATTGATGAGAAGTCGAGGGAAAAGACTGCTTTCGGAATCAGCGATAGTGGCTCGCTGATCGGGGATCCAGCTCCTTCGTCAGCGCAGTTTACAATGGTTCTTCAATTGTTGGTACATCTTATCAACCGGTTGGACAGATGTCTTTTCGCAGGCGTACAAACTACGCCCAGCCCCCAGAAGCACCAAGGCGGTATGGATCTGACACGTTTCGAGAAGAATGCGGATGAACTTGGATCTGATAGAAATAGCATTGCTGGGTTAGCACATGGATCAATTACAGGGTTATCACTAGAGTATCGTAGACTGCGACAGATCATTTCCCAACTCCAGGGCCAGATGGACACACTTGAAGAAATTTGAGTTGAGGGGTTGGGATAAATTTTTATAAATGAAGGAGGCGACTACAGGTCTAGATTAGAATGTAGGAAGACAAAAGCTTAAATACGAAGACTAAAGAAGATCTCTTGGTACGAAGCTAATTGTGAATTCTTGATGTGGTGGCTTGATATGTTTCATTGAGACGTCATTAGCTTCAACTATCAGTCAATGAATCGTGACTACAGTAAGGTAGAGTGAAAGGAATCATGACACATTTAAGCTATCTTCTGGTTCAACAGTCTATATTAAATATAGCTAATTGACTGATATGAGTTCTAGATATAAACACAATCTCTCATTAACTGTAGCAACATCTAACAAGAGAAAGAAACAATGTCACAGTTCTAGAAGTTCAAGGCTCCCTTCAAGAACTCCAACTGCTTCTCCATGACAGAGTCAACATCGCCAAAAGCCCAATCCAAATGCCCCTTGCCGGGAAGCAAATGAAATGTCTTTGGCTCGCCCATCTTTTCAAACGCGGCAATTTGCTCCTCAGCGGGACATTCAACATCATTCTCAGGAGTCACCATCATTGCAGGCGTGGGGCTGACATAGGGAATCAGCGTCATGATGTCCCACGAGAACGCATTGTAGAAAGTCTGCACTGTGACGCGGTTCTCAACAGGGATCTTCAGACGGGTCATCATGGGCCAAAAGTCCTCGCCCATTGACGGGCCGAGCGGAACAGTGCCATCTTCGTTGACGTAGGGCAGATAGATTGGCTCTAGAGATTAGAGTTAGATAAGTTACCACATAAAGAGGAGCCCAATACCTTCTCCAGCCATTTGAGCCTCGCGATCTTGCATGGCGAGCTCAAGAATAGCTCTTCGTCGCTCAGCAAACCCATGGAGGTCAATGACTGGTGCGACCGCAACAACAGCATGGACACGAGGACTAAAGTCTTTATCAGCACTGCTGAAGCCATAGATCGTTATCACGGTACTAACTCGAGTGCTGTAGCAGCGAGACACATATTTCCATCAAAACAGAGGCCCCAAAGGGCAATCTTCTGAGGGTCAACCAGTTCGTGTTTGGAAAGGTACGTGACGGCATCATGAAAATCCTCAACTCGTTTACGAGCACTTGTCTGTAATTAAAGCGGTTAGTTACCAAGTACAAGTTCAATGAGGATTCAAGATTTGGTCACCTCTTGTCTCGGTAGGCCCTCACTTAAGCCATAAGTCCTCGTATCGAAAATGAGGGCCGTGATGCCACGGTTCTGATACCACTGCGCAATATCAGGCACAAAGGCCTCTCTGGGCATGTTAAACTGCAAAGGTCTTAGCAAACAGTTTTCGTCGGTCAAGCGGTGTTACCTACTCCAGGAGAAACAATAATGCCTGGTCCATATTGGGCGGCTGGGTATAGCCAGCCACTCAGGGTGAGGCCATCGAGTGTCTTAAAGGTGACGTCAAGGCGAGACATGCTGTTGGTTTATGACTGTAATGTGTATGAATTCGGCTGCGGTTATGTTGAAACTTGGACTGTGAGCTTACATATACTGCAATGTTGTTTCTAAAAGGCCCTATATTTTGTCTCGTCTCGAGTCCTTAATAATAATATTCTTAATTCTATTGCTGCGCTGCCAGTACTATGGTGCACCTCGCATCGAGATGCTGTTTCGTGTCGCATTGACTCATGTAAGACGGAAGCGGAATCAGTCAGCACGGAGAAGAGTATCCCGATCAGCGGGATCAGCGGGATCGGCGCTGTCGGCGCTGTCGGTGCTGTCGGAAATGTCAGATGTGGCTGCACTTGCTGCACTTGAGACTTATGGCTGAGAGCTGAAATCAGCAGAGTGGCTACACATGCAGAATATCGGGTGCCGAGTATGACTATACGGACAAAACATGGAAATCCGACTACTGCGGCCTGTAACTCCGAGATGCCGGCGCTGGACAAAGTCCAATTAACTTAGAGGTTCAAAACCGGGTTCTTCCTCTGGCTTGATTCAGTGGACGAGAAGAAGAGTGTGCCTGCAACTTCCAATAAAAGGAAAGAGTATGTTCTAATCATTAGCTACATTCTGTAGCATCAGGTCCCTATAACTCGTTGAGAATAAATCGGGATTTAACTATCTATTACTAAATAAGAGTTTTCAGAAATAAGTAAAATAAATATTTTAAAAAAGAGCTAGAGTTTAATTATGAGCTTTATAGGTTAAATTATATACAGGATTAAACTAAAGGTATTTTCTTAGTAGTAGTAAAAAGAGAGTAATAATTCAGCATAAACTTAAGTAACGAGGTCTAGCTAAGAAGCCCAAAATACACTCTTTCCATTCCCCACAGTCTTCAAGCCCCAACCGCTAAGGGAATGACAAGCTTCTTACCCCTGACAACACCGTCTCGTAGATCTTGTAGTCCAGAATCAACACTTTCCAAGCCTCCAGTACGAATTTCCAAAGGATGGTTACGAATCTTGCCCTCAGCTAGCCATTGCTCCGCTAATCTGAAGAAGTGGCTGGCAAATTCCCGATGTTCAGGGGCACTAGGCCGTCCATAAACACCATCGAGCTTGCAGGGCTCCCCGAGGAGGGTGTTGGCCATGACCCAGTCAGCACGGACATCACGTCGCGTGTACTTGACTGTGTTGGCTGTGGCATCAAGCGCAATGTAGGTACCACCTTGAGAGCCAATTGCCTCATAGCACATGGTCATCGTGGCGACATTAGTGACACAGTCAACCACGTATGCGAGCGAATTGTCTGTATGGAGACGAATATCGGCACCGCAAGTTGGAGAGTTGTAATCGAAGCAAGCAGAAGCTCCGAAAGACTCGCAGAGGGAGTTATTGGCTGGCGAGCATGTTACAATGGGGTTATATCCGGCCCTAGATGGGGGATACATAAGTGTTAGTATTCTGTCTTTTGTATTCGCACTGTTTGAAGTAATGGAGGGTGACTGACAATTTGAGAAGCTGCGTGGCCATTGTACCCGAGGCTGAGGCCCCTCCAGCCACGAGGACTGTGATAGGATCCTTGGATTCCTCGGCGCTTTTACCATGACCATTCGTGCTACCATTCGTATGGCCATTTGTGTGACCATTCGCGGATCCGTTACTTCGGCCATTTCCGTTCATGTCGTCCAGAGAGTGTCCGTGTTCCAACGGAAGATTGAGTCCAGGCTGCTGAAACAGAGCCAGGCCGGAGATTCCAATGCCCAGACCAAGAGAACAGGCCTCATTGTATGACATGCCTTTTGGAATATGGCAACTCAGATCCTCGAAAGCCAATGCGTACTCAGCAAAACCGCCGCGTGTATGCATACTGAGCACTGAGTCACCTGGTTGGAATCGTGTGACTCCTGGGCCAGCAGCGACTACAACCCCAGCAAAGTCGCAGCCTCCAACATAGGGTTCAGGAGAGATGATACCGTATTCGATGACCTTGGTATCGTAAGGATTAAGCGCAACGGCCTCAACGCGAACTAGCATCATGCCTGGCTTTGGGCTGGGCTGCGGCATCTCGCTGCTTAGGCAATAGCCTCCTGATGCGTTGCTAACCATGGCTTTCATTGTTGATGCGGATGACATACTGAAAGATGGCGAGGAGAATCGGATGCTATAGGATGATAGATGGTGGAGTGGTATGGCTAGCAACCTGACTTGAATTCACAGATAATAGATTGGGTGACGATATCAATCAACAGACAAGCCTTCACCATCATCTACGAGTTGGTCGGGCTTATCTGTAGGATCATATCCTCAGACTTTCCGTAGCACATTCCGTCTGTAAGATATTAGTCATACCGAAATCTGTGCACCGGAGGACAGATGAGGCGCAGCAAACTCCGTGTTCCGACCGTGATTGTCGGAGTAAGCAGCCACTCGCAGGGTCGCAGTCGGTCTTACGGGCCGGTTTTTGTCATAAGGCTCGTATCTGGATTTTCCGACGTTTAGTTTCAGCGATTGAAAGAGAAACTAGTTGTTGAGGAAATTGTAAAGATGCGGTGAAACCCAAGATGCTCAGTATTGAACGCACGCATTAGAGATCACTCCATTGCCATTCAACCCGAAAATCACATACAACTTTTACGATTCACTGAAACATTTGTACTTCAAGATGGGTAGCATAACTCAGCAACCAAAGTACACCAACGAGCCAATTGCTATTGTTGGTAGCAGCTGTCGCTTCCCAGGCGATGCGACCTCCCCATCAAAGCTTTGGGACCTCCTCAAGAACCCTAGAGATGTTGTCTCCGAGATTCCTTCCACCCGGTTCAACACAACCGGGTTCTATCATCCTGATAGTCAGCATCATGGCGTAGGTACTACGGTATAGGTATTTGATACGAAGGCTAATAAACGTAGAGCTCTAATGTTCGTCATGCATACCTGTTGGACCAAGATCCAAGAGCCTTTGATAGAGAGTTCTTTGGCATCAGTCCAAAGGAAGCTCAATCCATGGATCCCCAACAGCGCATGCTGCTCGAGACAGTCTATGAGGGCATCGAGTCTGCTGGCTACTCAATGCAACAGCTGCGTGGCTCAAACACAGCCGTCTTTGTCGGTGTTATGTTCCTCGACTATCAGCTCATCTCCGCACGCGGTCTTGACAGCCTACCACAGTATCATGCTACCGGTGTTGCCATGTCTATCTTGGCAAACCGGCTATCTTACTTCTACGACTGGAAGGGACCATCTGTGGGTATTGATACAGCATGCTCATCGAGTTTGGTGGCGTTGCACTACGCCGTGCAGACTCTGAGAAGTGGTGAAGCCAAGATGGCTGTTGCAGCGGGATCGAACCTGATCTTGGTCCCAGATCTGTTTGTGTCAGAGTCAAGTGTTAGTAAACCTCTCCTATAAGTTCCAGCAACCGTGCTAACGCCCGACGTAGCTCAACATGCTATCTCCCAATGGACGCTCCTATATGTGGGATAAGGACGCTGATGGCTACACCCGTGGAGAAGGAACATCCGCTGTCATTCTCAAGACACTGAGCCAGGCCATTGCTGACGGCGATCACATTGAATGCATCA